CAAAAATTGTCCCAGCCGGTCCAAAGTTTTCATACCAATTTAGAATTTCGAAATACTACTATTTACCCACTTTTGCCCATAAATTTTGAAAATTACAATTTTTTTCAATATAACGCCTTTTCGGAATAGGGCGTAATGTGGGGATCCTAGTCATTTTCAATAGCGTTCGTCCTTTGGTGAAATTATGTCATAGTGCCAAATTTCATCAAAATATTCATAGGTTGGAGCAACTAATTCTATGGACGTCCTGAAATCAGCTACAGAATGCAATATCAATAAAATATAGTACTTCATTAACACTATTAGGCTTAATTTCCATCGATCTTTTCTAAAATAGAGCCGATAGCTTGTGCTGCTAGTACTCAAGTGTTTTTTTCCTTTTTAGTCTAGAGAATTTATTTTATTAGTCTAAAAATAACAAACACATTCTGACTAGTTTTTGCCCATTTTTAGGGATCTGTCGTTTGCGTAAAAAACTTCATCCTCAAATATAAACAAACTAAAAATTACAATTTCTGGGTGAGAATTTTTTTAATATTTTCTTTAATTCTATAAAACCAATGGAAGAAACTTCTTTCCAATTTGTAAGTTATAGTTAAGTAAGCATAACATAAAAATAACAATAACAGTTTTCTCAGTTGTATAAAAATGTTAGATTTGGTGAAAACGGTACGCCCAACTCATAATTATTATTAAATTGCATCTTCAGGCCGCAGCGTTCGACACGATGATATAATACCGGTACAGTGCAGCAAAATTTTCTTGCACTTTTATTCATACGGTATTTGCAATACTTCATACTGCACACAGACCGCATGCTAAACACGATGGATGGATGGATAACTTTGCATTATTGTGTCAAAGTCTATTGTTCCTTGAAATACAAATAGGAAGACTTTTTTCTGTTTTCGTAAACACACACACATCATTATCAATGCTTATCAATGCAAATGCATGCAGCAATATTGGAATTTTATCACCTTTCGGCTTCCTAGATGGTTCTAATATACAAAAATTAATTATTAAGATTTTGTTTAAGTATTTGAACAGAAAACACATAAGAAAACGAATACATAATTGATTGGTGGCAATAAATTTTAAAGCTAATCTAACTTTTTAGCTGTTGTGATCTTTCTGTTTCTCCGGGACTTTTTTGTTCCACTTCTAATTCTTCTAACATATTTATAAGCTGGTCATCTGTTAGCACCGATTTTTCATATGCGATTGTTTTATCAATTTTTGTTTCAGTTTCAACATTCTCGCCGGTGATTTGAGCAAGTTCACGTTCCAAATCATTGTCATCATATGAATCGGACACATTGAGATTCGTATCAGCAAGTATATCCCCGATTTCTTTATGTGTTTCAATTGTTTCATTGACATCAGCAACAATATCTGTTACGGTGTCATTATTCAAATTTGAAGTATCAAAAATATTTTGCAAAGCCTTCGATCCGCTTTTATAAGCATCTAGGATGATGCCGTTATGCTTTGCTTCTTCAACACTTAGTAAAAGCGTCTCAATATTCTGTAAAGCGAGGCTCTGCTTTTTGTGGGTATTTTCCAGCAAATGTTTCTTTTGAAGTAAAGGTTTTGCCATTCGTCGATTGTTTTCCTTAAGATATTTACGAATGCTCGATTTGATCTCTTCAATTTTTACTTCAATATCTCGTAGTTGCTCCATTAAGGTCATTCGTACAGCTTTCATCTTATGTATAACTATATCGTTTTCGTTTATTCCGGTAACGGGTTCATTTTCCATAGGTACTTTAATCAGTTGTATACGATTTTCACTGTCCCCCAATTTATATAACAAGTCAATTTTACGCTCATAGTGCAACGTTTGAGCGCACATTTTAATACAATTTTCGGAAATGGTCATTACCCTTAACACTTCTTCAATAAATACTTCATAAGGTTGTACTGTTCCTTTGAATGGAGATTTTTGCAATAGCTCATACACTTGCATACAAAATTTCCTTAAGACATCCATATGGACGTATTCGATTCGATGCGTATCGGCAGTCATTTCATTAGGGTTGAGCCAAAATTTTAATGTTCCGTAAACCCATAGAAATGGCCCCTTTATAAAATTGTGAAGAGCCCATTCAGTCCAGTTGGAATTTATATTTAATTTGTAATCTTCACTGGCACAAATAATCTTCAGCTGCAGCATATTCGATAAAACTGTGTCCAAACAAGCAGGCACATGGCCATTTCTTGTAAAACGAATTTTCAATTCTTCTTTATTGAAATTAGCATCTCCTTTATACTCACAATAATCTCGTATTAGATTTGTCCAGAATTGTAATTTGGAATCAAAACTTTCTGGATTAACAGTCCGCTCTCTGAAGGTCGATAAAAGGAATCCCATGCGCACATTATCTTGCCAGCAAGCTGGATAGGGAAAATTATCTTCGAACTTATTAGCGGCCTTTTGATTTTGTGCGCAAACACTCGACATTTTTCGATTTGTGAAATATGCCCTCGTCTGGGGACTTTCGTTATAAAAGTGTAAATTAAATTATTTCTTTGTTTAGACCAAATTTAGAAGAAATTTCTTAATTAAATTCTTGAATGCAAATGACAATTTGTTTCGTTTTAACTCAATTCTTCTTCTTCTCCGTTCAATTTGATGTCGATAGCCTATGCTACAGTGCTCAACTTTTTTCTTTTAGTCTAAAAATATTAAAATAGCAATAATTTTCTTCTTCTTTTTCAATTCAGCAAATTAACAATCAAAAATGCGCTGAAAGTGCATAAAAAAGGCCCAATGTAAACACAAAGTTTTTTATTGAGCCTTTAAACCATATTTGATTAATGTCTTGCTAGTTTTGCGTGTATATCCCACGTTCTTTTTATACCCTACATCACTTGTGATACAGGGTACATCAAGCGAGTAAGATAACTCTACTGCTTGACACTATAATTTCTTTTGAGCTGAGTATTATAAAGAAAAAATCTATCCACCACATCATTACGCCCGCCATAACTAATTTAGAATTGACACATTTGCCTTGCCGCCTTCTGCTCTCCAAGTTCTTTTATTTGATAACTACATCGCTGGTTTTACCAAGAAAAAATTAATCCACCAATCTGCCGCGTCCACCGTATATTTATTTTATCATAGAATTAACAATTTTTAGGCAGTTACTATATATCTTCATTAGAAGAAAGTACACAGTAACTTTTAATAATTTGTCTTCTTTGCCTTATCATTAATAAGCGAAAAACCTCAAAAAAATGAAAAAAAAAGAAAATTTAATTGCTTATAACAGAGCGTGTGAGCGTGGGGGATTTTTCCCATTTTTGCACATAAATAGTAGGAAAATATTTCCGCCTTCTATCATTTAGAATTTGTGAATAACGAACGCGGACCCATAAATTTTTGCTAAGAGAAAGCGAGTTACGTTAACTTTACTCTTTACAGCGGACATATGCTTCGACCCATCTGGCCCATTTTCAATACGAATCCATATGCAGAAACTTCCAATGTCGCTATCAAATTTAAAGTCGATATCTTCGTTTTTGCGACCAGGGGACTGTCAAAAACACACCACACGCAGACGGACAGACATTGCTTATTCGATTTCGAATTTCAATTATATACTTTATAAGGTCGCTGAAGCTTTCTTTTAGGTGTCGCATATATTATACCTAAATGAGCGTGCCCTCATTCTTCGATAACTACCGATTCTATTGATGAGATAGCAAAGGAGGAAATAATGTAGAAAATCTTCAAAAAAGTGTAAAGACTTAACATAGATGAAGAGCGAATAAGTGACAAGGGCGACGGCTCCGAAGACTGGAAAAATGTCGTAAAAAGAAAATAGGAAAGCTCGTCATCATAATGTATTAAGAATGGAGGAAAACCTACCGCTTCAAATGATGAGAAGACTGGATATAGGAAGCTGTGCATATGTGTATACGTATATGAATATCAATTTTGAAATCAGAAAGCTTTCATATAAAAACCTTATTTCATGGAGGCTTCCAAATTAAAAGTGGGTCGGCAAAAACTAGGATTAGCAAAAAGAAAAAAAAAAAGGACTAAAAAAATTATATTCGATTGTGATCGAATCTTTTTTGTTTATACCCGTCATGGTTATCTAAAAGAATCAAAAAAAGTGAAAGAAGTAAATTTTCATGCTCTATAATATGTAGATGGGGACGGTTGATTTTTTCCATTTTCAAAATATGCGTGTCCTTCGATAGGTTTATGTCATTTCCATATTCTTTTGGAAATTTGCAGGCGATATCTTTATCTTCGCTAACGGGAGATTGTTTGCCGCAAATACTTCAGAGAGACGCAAACAGACAGACGAAAAGGCCGACATATTTAAGGGCATTCCAAATTTCAAACTAGCCTAGAATTCATATACTTTATGGGGTTTTTGAAGATTGTTTCTGCGCCTCGTAAAGGTATTGAAAAAAAAAATTAAATTTTGATACTTTGTAATATTGGGTAGGCTAGACCCATTTTTTTCTATAATTGTCCAGGTACTACAGCATCGCCCGTCCAAATTTTTTTTGCATTTATCTGCCATTGTTTACGAGTAATGAAGAAAAAATCCAATTTTTTATTCCTTTTGAAAAATAGAGGTATTGTCGATTTACGTGGTATTATAGATCGATTTGGCCCACTTTTCAATACCAATCTGCGTGGAAGAATTTCCAACATGATGTTGATAGCTTCATTTTTGTGACAAGCCATAACATAGACGAACATGCTTAAAACGATTTAGAATTTGATGCTGATCAAGAAATACGTATACTTTGAAGAGTTTCTGATGCTGGCCTTTGCAAACATTTTGACAAAATGAGTACACCCCTCACACTTCGGGAATCGGTCTAAATTTTAATATATTATGATGAACCTTAACCCATAATTGTAGTTTAAGATAAAAAAAATTCACTATACCAAACTTGGACCGCCCACGCTTATTTTTATATCCTATTATATATAAGGATTTACACGAAAATTTATGGCAAAAATAAGAATTGTGTTAAGACAATGTGATACAAGGTACTTAGCAGGGCTAACTGTTTTCACTTGTTTGTTGTTCTTAACAGATATTTACCTTTCAAAGGAAAATATAATAAAATGTTGCTTTTACTAAGGCGATTGTTTATTTGAAATAAAATTACATTTATTTGAAATATATATAAAACTTTGATTATTAACGGAATATATACTATCGCAATTCACATGCAAGCAGAAGAAACGAAATAAAAAAATCATGTGAGAGGAAATGAATAGTAAAAGATTATATATATTATAAACTTAAAAAAAAAAAATGAAAAATGTGTTCAATAACAACATAAACATACCAAAGTCCGAAATGAAATTGGCGAAGGATTCGTTGAGATACCTTGAAAAGTTTTTCTTTTTTTTTTCTCTTAAATATGATCAAATCCTAATTACATAGTTGGATAAGGCAGGTCCATTAGAAGTGGAGCGATTAATGCGAAAATCCAGATTAAGAGTGAGAATGTTTTTTTTGAGTAAAACTCTCCTGAAATAATAGAGCGACCCATGAAGGTCCGAAAAAGCGTTGTGAATATGGAATCCAACATTGAGTTGATGATAATAGCTTCAAATCCGAAAGCAATTGGCGGAAAGAAAACGAGACTGCATAAGCGAAGAAAATTGTACATTATACATACATAATCCGAATAATCCTCCTCCCTCGTCGTCCTAAACAACACACATAAATTTCCATGAAACGTTTAAAGTAAAGGTCATTGGTCCGTTCATTGTAGCGTGTCTCGAAAATCCTTGAATTCTACTATTCTTTTTCAATAATGATAGTTAGTTTACTGTGCTCCAGGTTTTCCAGCAAAATTTCCTCAAGTTATTTAAAAAAAATTTGCAAATTCCTTTGAATCCTTTGCCTGTGCCTTTGCCTGGTTATCCAACTTTAAATCCTTTTATCATTTCTTTTTTTTTATTTCCTTTTAAAATAAATTCCTTATTGCACATTTTCCACCTCGATCCTTCCTCTTAATCCTCCTCCAATCCTTTCCTCTCCCTCTCCAAATGCATAACATTTCCATTCATTATTCCAGTCCAGTGAAAATAAAGAAAAAAATTTATAAATTATTAATAAATCGTTTACATGGTAGTGAATTATTTATTAAGTTTGTAAAAATTATTATTGTGTGGATTAATTGAAAAAAAAAAAAAAAAAAAAAAATAGTAATAAAATAAGGATTAAGGAAAAATGTTTCTGTCTTGATATTACGGTTCAAATCATATTTGCAGGTTAAACTTAAAAAACACAAAAATTGTATTTACTCAAAAACCCGAGAAAAATCTGCAAAAAATAAAAATTGTTAGAATACCATTTGTTTTTTTCTCTAGATTTTAAATAGCGTTATTGTAAAACTCTCTCTTACTTATAATGTTGAATACGGATAGTAAAAAAAAATAAACTTAAAACTGCGCTAAAAATCAAAATCGAAAACACGAAATTGGAAAGTTCTTTGTTGAGATGTTTTAGACGTGTGCCTGTGTGTTAAAGCCTTACTCAGTTGGTTATGTATACTTTGGGAAATATTTTAGAAAAATGCTTTAATGTTGCCCGTGAGAAGCAACACAATAATATGCTGTTGCGTTAAACTGAATTGTTTCATTTTAGGGCAAGGAAGAAGTGTGAAGAAGTAGGGATTGCATACTGATGTTTAAAAAGTTTTTAGTATCGGTTGAGTTTAAAAATTGGAACGAGAACGTGACCTTGAAAACGTTTGCCGACGGACTGGTGAATATGTAGGAGTTCCACGCCTTCGAGGACGTGGTGAAAAAGAACGCGACCGAGATCTGAAAAATGATAAAAATTTTATTTACTGGTAATATTGAAAAATTACAAATCATACCTCCCGCGACCGAAATCCCCACGGCCGCCACCGCTGCCACCACGTTCACCGTCTCCGCAATCCTCACGGACTCGTATGTAACCCACTTCACCCTATAAATGTAAAATCGAATTTACGAACGTTTCAAAGACAAAGAAAGGAAGCTATATTTGTTTAAGATACCTACTACCCACTGTGTTTACGAGTACACTACACATAATACACAATGTTGGTGCTATGAAGGAAAAAATCTTTAGCAACAGGAAATTCGAACAAAAGACAGGTTAACTGACAGTCGGAATTTCGTCTTTTTTAAAAACGGAGAAACGACAAAACAATATGCACTTTTCCCAGCAGAGGGGAATCTGATTGTGGAACTGTTTGTCCTGAAGTTTCCGATTTTCCATGAGTTCCTGTTACCAGGTGATCATAGCCGTTTTCTATTCGAATTTGTGGCCTTTAATAACGAATTTATGTGCCAAGTATCAACTTTTTTTTTTATCGTGTTTACGACAATATACGCAGGCTTGCACAAATGTTTAAACTGAATCAGTATGGCCAAACTCACTCAGTTGTGGGTAAAAAAAATTTGTTCTTTTCGAATCTGTCTTATAATCATTTAAATTATGCTTACCTCGTGCGATCTAAATCTGGAATCGTCTAACTTTTTAATAGCGTATTTCATATCCTCATGACGCAAAAATTCCACAACCCCTGTACCATCTTTATAAGTATCTGCAAAACATACATCGCCTGCTTCGCGCATATGATCTTTTAAATCCTGCCATGAGCCTGAAGATGGCAAACCAGTAACTAGCACACGGTATTGTGAACGTTTAGTTGGCGGGCCACGACCACCGCCGCCTCTACCACCTTCTCGCTGATTACCACGCTCATTGCCACGATTATTTCGATGCTCGTTACGTCCGCCACCCCGCGGAAACTCCACTCTTAGTCGATAGCCATCATAATCATAACCGTCTCTTGCCTTTACAGCATCATCAGCATCTCTTTGATTTGTGTATTAAAATAAACATTGCATTGTATTTGCAAGCAAAAAACTGCTAATAAAATGTACCTTACCTTGCATCCTCAAATTCGACAAATGCAAATGGCGGCCCACGCCGGTTTTTTAGATCGACAAATGTTACTTTACCAAATTTATGGAATAAATCCTGTATATCTTTGGTTCGTATGTCCGGCGGTAAATTTCCCACATAAATACGGCTTTCGTTTCGCGAACCCATAGTTTTGTAAATGCAAATTCTTTTCCTTTTTAAATATGTTAGAAACTCTTGATAATTTTCACTTAATTGACGGCGCAGTACAAGTTTCTCATGAACGAAACCTTTTTGTCTACACTTTTGGAGAAATTAAAGTTGCCAAAAGCCAAACACATTTCCTATCCATAGTGATGTAGTAAATGTATGATGACATTGCCAGAGGTAAAAATTTGTAATATGAACTTGTTACTACTTTTTCTTCATACTCTACAGTATTTTGTTAATTTTTAACGCGAATAAAAAGTCAGACGAGTTTCATTTAAAGTCCTCAAAAGTAAATAGGCGTAACTTTAAAGAAGTTCAGATCACAAATTCCGCAAAACGCGATGCGATTTAATTAGTGATCATAAAAAACGTCGACGTAGAGGTCTTAATAATAATTGTATCAATATGTTAGTGCCGTTGTAAATTTTGCACAAGGTGAAATACATATGAAAGTTATCACACGTGATTGGATACCAAACTAAATGTACGAAAAAAGAATTTGTGGAATGGCTAACGAGAATTACTATATATAAATTCTACAACTGTTGCTCTCCAGCTGCGCTTATATATAAGACATAGCAAAGTAATTCACCACAGATATGAAATGTCTAATCAACCATGCCGGTTTATTTTTGTGGTAAATTAGTGCTCTATTATGGGCATTAGTAACAAGCTTTTTCACCTAAGTCGCTATAAATACTTCACACTAGCTAAAGTAAAAGACATTAATTTCTTACTAGAAGAAAAAATCCTCCATTGTTGTAATTTTATTTTTCATCCGCTCGTATAAAAATGTTTACATGATGTATATATACACTTATAGGAATTTATTATATTTTTTTCTTGGGAAAACAGCTGATTATGGTATTACGCAACCAAATTGTTGTGTTTATAAATTAAGCGTGAAACGAGACGCAACCAAATTGACATCAAATTGACAGCAAAATAAAAAAAAAAAAGCACAAGAAGAATTGTTGATCGTTGCCTTTAAATTTATTTATCTAATTTATATTTATTTTATACTAATGTCAATTTTTTTCAATTATTTGGTTTGCAATTTTGCTTTATATCATGTAAGATTTTGTAAGAAATCAAAAAAAAGCAATAAAGACCATTTAGTTTATAGTTGAAATTGTTACAAAAATTTAAGCAGAATATGAAGATAAAGAAAATTGTTATTTCCTATATTTTAGTTTCTAAAACCACACGTTTTAGTTTACATTTTCCTGTAAATACGGTTTATTTCCATCCTATATAGTATATATCCTTTTTTCTTTTAATATTAAAAACAATAAATAATATATATGCCATTGCGTTGGTGTATAGACGATGTAAAAATGCCCACTTCAATCCGAACCTTTATTATGAGTGCGGCGCATTTGCATGGTTGATAATAAGATTTCTTCTTTATGCTACTATTAGTTACAAGCGTCAAAAATAATTTGTGTTATTGTGCTTATATGAATGATTTTTTTTGTTGTATTTTGTATTTACTACCAGCCAAAGTTAATAAATTTTGTATATAAACAAATAAAGATGGTTTTAAAAGGAAAACTAAACAATTTTGAAGAAAAGTTAAGGAAAAATAAGAATGATCCACAATAATAAGGGGCTAATAAGTCGCGCAGAAAATGCGAAAACTTTCAACGCAATAAATACTATAAGCAATAAGACTTCTCTTACAATGTCTAATATTAATTAATAAAAATAAAAGGAAATTATTAGAAAGGTTTTGTTTGTGTCAGAAAAATGTCAAATTTACGTAGTGTAATATTCTACGACTTGTGCCGCGTTTGTACATCAAGCTCTGATCAGAGAATTGACATCTTTTCGGCGGAGGGAAAAAGTAAAAATTTATGCAATAAAATTGCTGAATGCTTGCCAATCAATGTAAGTATTATTTTTTCATTTCGTAATCAATAATTTTAATATGAAAATCTTTTGATAGGTTGATGAGAAGGATCGTTTACCTAAAGTATTATGTCCTCAATGCGCTCAACATGTGGAAACATTTATCGAATTTCGAAATATTTGTCGAAACTCACAAACCAAGTTAACTAGCTGGCTCAATGCGGCAACAGGACAGAATTTTAGTGAAAAACTGGCAGCTAAAAATGAAAATAATAATAAGAATCAAAGTTCCGCAGAAGAAACGACCCCATCGATCAATACTATTAGCATCAGTACGCCAAATGTTGTCCAACAGCAGCAACCTGTAATTACCATACAAAACTCAAATCAAAATATAAATTCTTCAATGGTGCCGATATCTATAACAGCGTCTGCTCCTAATGGCCAATTGCAAGTTAATAATGAATTTTTGAATTCGATCATGCAAGTTGTGGGAATGCAGGTATTCAATAGAATTAGTAAAAGCATATTTATTCTTATTATGTATCAAAAAATCGCCTAACATTAATCTAATTAAATATAGGTTGAAAAGCCAGTAATTTCTCAATGTTCAGTAACAGTTGATAACGTTGCAAGTCAATCTCAACAACAAGAGCAACCGCAATTGCAGCAACAGTGCTTAAATAATAAGGAAAAAGAATTAAAAAACAGGTAAGTTTGTTAAAAAATTTTTTAAACCTTGCTCGAAATAGAATTAATTTGGTTTAGAATTGCTTGTTTGTAATCGTATCATCTAAATATTTAAATTTCTTAGTTGTTAATAACATATTCAATAAGTTACGTATAAAATTTTCGTGGCAATTTTAGTTCCTTAGAGGAATTTCTGAAAATGAAACCCAACCTTAAAGTCACGCCATTATCAAAAAAACAGCAACAGCAACAACAACAACAAGAACAGTTTCAAATTCAGCATCTACAGCAGCAATTGCAGCAACAGTTGCAGCAGCAAATACAACAGCAACAACTGCAGCAACAATTGCAATTATTAACATCTCAATTACAGCCGCAACAAATTACAATTACGGCACCTGCAACTGCCTTAGCACCCATTGCTAACACTACAAATGCTCTGTTGCAGAATAACATGGCTGACAATAGCTCGAGTACAGCCGTAACAAACATCTGCAATGCCAATGATATGAACGAACTAAGTCCGACAAAAAATAAAAAACCAAAATTAAATTTGATATTTACACCACCGCATGGTACGCAGACTATATCCGCTACGTTGCCTCAACTGGCGACTGCGCAGACCTCTTCGGGGACGACAGGACCTCAAATACAATTGCAATTGCAGCCAACATTAACTCAACACGCGTTGACAACATCAAACCAACCACATCATCAACAGCAACAGCAACAGCAGGTAAATGCGACCGCAGCAGCATTATTATCGAATTTAGCACCTCTACTGCAGCCTCAAACACAAACACAAGCTCTTAGTGCGGTACTTCAAAGTCCAGCTTTAACTAGTGCGTCTACAACAAGTTCAACGATATTTTCGCCCAATAAGTGTTTTCTACCTATTACCATAAAAGACGAGAATACTGATCAACAATTTGTGGCCCACATTGATGCTAAAAATTTCCTTTTACCTACTACCTATCAATTACAAATGAAGGTGAGTTCGAGTTTACAGATTCTTGAAAGCAAATTGTGTGAAATTTTTATTTTTTTTTAAACGAACAGTTGCAACCGCAAATAGCCACCGCTGATGGTCAACCAATAATGCAATTAGCTCCCACCTCTATACCAGCTACATTGCAACTAACACCACAAACATTAACGTCAGCACCAACATTTCAAGCTGCCACTGTAACTACTCTGAATCAAAACCATACCATACCCACACAGATAAACCAACCACAGCAACAACAACAGCAACAAATTCAAATTCAAACTACACCGTCGATAGGACCGACGCGAGTTGTCCAACAGTTAGCTCAACAACAACAACAGCATCAAATCACCCAACAACCACAATCACAACAACAATCAACATCACTACCATTATCTACGTCGACATCACAACCTCAGCCAAAACAACAACAACAACAACAACAACAACAGCAATATCAAATCAAACAGCCAGCCAAATTATCTAAGAATGTACAAATTACAGCTCAACAAATCGTAAACGCTGGCAATAATACTAATTTTACTAATGAAAATGAAGTGGATGCGACTAAGTCAATTTCAACAACGCCGGAAAAGAAAGAAAATCTCTCGAATTCTTTTACAGTTTTAAAACGGCAAAAATATAAAATTATACAGCAACCTGGTAGCAATACTATCGAAATACAACCGACTAATGAATTTTCGCAACAAATTCTGTCACAAGTGCAACAAAAACAGCAACAGAAATTAAAATCGCAACAACAACAACAACAGCAGCAGCAGCAACAGCAGCAACAACAATCGCAACAGCAAAATATTGCTACTCTATCAACCCAACATGGCGGCATAACTGTGCAGCGCATACCACCAAAAACGGTCGTAAGTGATGAACCACAAGTTACGAACGTAGCAAAATTGACGTCGCAACAACAACAACAACAACAGGGAAACACGAATTCAAGAAAATTGCCCATTTTAAATAAACAAAATATCACGATCAGTCGCATCAGTGCTCAAACGGCTCAGCCAATGCATAATAAAACATTACAAGAACAATCTGCAAGCAAAGCTCAAATTACTCAAATCCAAACGAACACATTCGCGACATTGCAAACATCGGCCAACAGTACAACGTCAGCAAGTTCTAGCCAAGAATTTAATACAAAATTCTATCCCTTACAAATAACGCAACCTACATCGTCTCCTAATGAACAACCCACTGCATCAAATGTTCATCAATCGACGACAACACTAAGAATCTCTCCAACTAAAAAAGTGATTATTAAGAAGACGCAAAAATCTGAAATATCATCAACTATGCCGCATAAGACGCAGCCCGAGGCGGCAGTTGACGCAAATCCTGCTTCGACACCTGCGTCAGCCAAATATGTGATAAAAAATATCACACCTACGACAACAACACCAACCAGTACTAATCAAATTAAATTAGTTGGAACGACGACCACAACAACGCCTTCAGCAACAAACTCAACTACCAGTTCAACAACAACAACCGCGACTAAAACTACATCGCAATCTGTTTCGGCCCAAAATTCGAATAGTTTAGAATGCCCGACTTGTCATCGCGCTTTTAAGAAGAAGGAACATTTAACCCAGCATTTCAAGTTACACGCAGGCGTACGTCCATTTAAATGTACAGAAACGGGATGTAATAAAGCGTTCAGTCGCAAAGAGCATTTACATCGCCATTTGATCTCGCATACGGGCAAGAAAATGTTTAGCTGTGATTTATGTCAAAAACCATTTTCACGCAAAGACAATCTCAGTAAGCATAGAAAGTAAGTATATCATAAAACGACAAAGAAATTAGTTACGTTTGCAGTGTATTTGGAATTCTTTAATAACTAACATTTTTTTAGTGACTGAGTGATTCTTTAATTAATATGAAATCGAAAGTCATATTTACTTAGTCTGCTTTACTTGTATACAGTTTTTTTTTGCACAGGTTAAACGTAAGCGAAATCTTCGCGAAATTTCTCTAAGTCCAACACAAAGAATAATTAAAAACAAAAACGGAATATTATAGACGGGCAAGACGGACCATTGGATACCCTGCACCATTTCGCGTAGTATAATTATCCTAACAGCACTCACATTTTTGTGCAAACCCATACTTTCGATACTTTTTGATTGGAGGATGTTCCAAGCATCAGCTGCCTTCATCCAAATTTAGAAAATATAATTTACTTTCTTTAATGTATCCGGCAAATGGTTCTGTTTGCATCGGTATAATCAAAGTTTTGTCTTAAGCCCTTCTGGTTGTTAGGTATGTCCACACAAAATTGTACCCCATGTAGGGTATAATTAAATGGTCACTTTCGGATTCGGGTTAGTAAGGGTCGATTAGGCGACAATTATTAGATTGCCATAGATTTTTATGTTAAAACCGCAACACGACTTCCTCGCACTAATCGTAGGAATAAATAAATATAAAACTAATTTATTATTATCTGCGGATTCCTAAGTGGGGAAGGAGCTAAACTACTTACATGGTCGATGGTCATACATATTCGCACTGGACGCAAAAATCATTGGGCAAATTGGGACAAATGTGCAACGCCTCGACCGTATGCACCGAAATGTGAAAAAATTGCATTGAAAGCAAAACTAACCTTTGAAAGTTTTCGCACACATGCTACACTTAAATTTACGATCACATTTATAATTGAAGTATGTATAGCGTTTCGGAGCTCTCTCGATAGTTGACACTTTATTGCATATATGACAACGATATTCACTGCTTGTATTCTTATCGATGTTTTTCACGCCAGTTAAGTGACAATACCATGTATCACGAAGCATGCTTTGCTCCGATTGCGGCGCTAATTGCGTTCCTAATCAGTGTCACCTTTCGTATCACTAGCCAATTGGGATGAGTCCTCACGAGTCGGTGTCATTCACAAAATTCTCCAATCCAAAGGACATCGTTACTAAGATAATCTTTTTATACCCATCACCGAAGCATAAGGCGCATGCCTGCTCGTCTATGTGTCTGTCCGTCTGTTTTAAACGTTGTCCTGGTCGCAAATATGAAGCTACCGACTCCACATTGGCCAGAAACATTGGAAGTTCTTACATTTAGGTTTGTACTAAAAATGAGTCAAATCGGTCGCAGGACATGCCCTCATCATCTTGTAAACTGAAAACACCTCTGCTTCTCAAGTGTAATAAAAAATTAGTTTGTATGTATAAAAGTTTGAACGCATGTTTTATCGGCGATACTATATAAAAATGGAAAAAATTGAACTCGCGTACTCGATATTATAATGCATCAAAACTTAATCTTATTTTTCAACACCTTTATAAGGCGTAGAAACAAGCTTCAAAAACCCCATAAAGTATACCAATTCTTAACCAGTTTCAAATTTGAAATGTACTTAATAAACATGTCCGTCTATTCGTTTGTCTGTCTTGGCAACTGTATGGTATGGTATTTATGGTAAACATTCTCACGTTAGCGGAAATAATTACATAACCTACAAATTTGTCAAAAGATTTTAGAAGCTAAACCTTTCCAGGGACGCGCCTACAATGCTCACACGCCTTCGCGACAAAAGCTATTATTTTGAAAATAGAAAAATTAGCCGCGCCCGGGTCCATCTTATAGGGCATAACAATTTAGTTCTTTGACTTTTTTTTGTCTTTTTCTAGGGTAACGGTGATGGGTATAGAAGCTTCGATTCCGACCGAACATAATTCTCTTATTTATTCTTTCTCTTCAGATTTTTGTCTCAATTTTAAATTTTCCTATTGCAGTTGAAGCCCGACCTTGTGAGGTGTTACAAAAATTTCATTCTTGAGTATTTTCTTGAATATAAGAATTTCGTAGAATTCTCGCGAGCCATGTAATTGTTAAAATATCTGTTTTATATATCTTTTCAGAACTCATTATGATAATGCGATTTCAATCAAATATTGCTGTGAAATATGTAATAAATCGTTTGCATCTAAATCGTATTACGAGCAACACAAACAACATCATCAAAAAGCGAATACTGAAGCAGAGGTAACGAGATATGAAAATTGAATAATTTGTTTTGAAAATTTAATATACAAAAATTTTTTAAATTTATTAGAATAAAAAATTAACTACAACGTCGTCAGCAAATGGATCTGGAAATCAAAACGTAATCAATCAAAATGATTATCAAGGACAACAAACGCAACCAACAGTACAGCAGCAGCAGCAACAGCAACAGCCGCAGCCGCAGCAACAACAGCCTCAACAACAGCAACAGCCACAACCACAGCCACAACAACAGCAGCAAACTCATATTCAATTATTACCTCAACAATTGCATACGCAATTACCACAACAACCGCAAATAATGCACTTGCAATTGCCGACAACAATAGTGACCAGTCAAGATATGACGGGCAATACAATTACCATAACGCAAGCCACTGATTCGAATAATGTTACACTTAAAGCACTAACCGGTAATCATCATGATACGACTGTCCTAAATCTGCCTACATCGTTGGCGAATTTCGTGCAGCAAGCACAGTTTGTAAATACGGCCACGGGACAGATAGTGGGACACTTAAAAATTGAAAAATGAATATAAGAGAAACACAAGACAACAAAGAGAGAGAGAGAAAGATATTTTTTTTGTAAAAAATTTAGTGCAAAATATGTACTTCTATAGGCAGTCAAGTTACTGCGTATGTAGTTTTTTAGATTTTTTTTTTTTTTATTTTAAAAATTATTTATTATTGTTAATATTGTAATACTTTTTAGAGACTGTAAATTAATAGATATACTAAAGACGGTATAGTCGACAGCGTATCCTGTCGTATTGTTTGCTTTCTCACAATGATGGCTTGATAAGGGCTAAGGCATACGTTGCCGACTAATTCAGTCTTATGTGTGTATGTATATAGTTTTAATAGTGTAAATATTGATACTGAATAAGTAAAAAATCAATTTTTATTTTTAAACGTCATTTTTTTAGATATTGATTTTTAAAATAATTTATTTGCATGTTTATAATCCCGTTTATACAATTTACAAAAGTTCAGATGACTTGAAAAAAAAAAATTTATTTTATTTATAAAATTTATTTTATTTTTTTTTTTACCTGTTTTCGATTACATTTTATTTGCAGTGGTCTCGCGTATATTTTGTAAATATTGTTTAAAATTTTTTACAAATCATCAATAATTAATAATAAGATTAACTAATTCTTTTGCAAATATTATTCAAAGTACGATATACATATGAACATTTAAAAAAATAATTAATTTTGTATTCTCATATGCATTATATAACAATTATTTTAAAATTCAATTTCAATGCAAAACCTAAATATACTTAATCATGACGCGTAAGAATTTAATGTAGCGTGTTGTAAAAAAAATTTTTTTTTTTCTTATTATCACTTTGTTTGAATTAACGGAAAGTAAGTCACGAAAACTCACAAATACTTTTTCTTTCGATGTGTTATCGTAAAAATTTTGTTGGAAAATCTTAAATTCTTTGAGCAACTTTTCATATAGGCGAACTCTAAATGAGATGGAATATTATCCCATGAAGTAGAAGTTTCCAACCTTCCTAAAAACAAGGAAGAAAATTATATTCGGTTGTGATCGAATCTTCAGCACCCATTACCGTTAATCCTAAAAAAAACTGAATATGTAAGAAAATTATATTCGATTGGAACCGATTCTTTTATACTCATCATAAGAGAGGCTAAAAAAGAAAAGAAATACATTTTCATACTCTATAACATTGGATGGGCGTGGCTGATTTTTTCTATTTTTGTATAGGCACAGCATTGCCCATAGAATATATGTTCAAGTTTTTGTACATTTACCTGCTATAGTTTATGAGTAATAAGCAAAAAAAAAAAATATTTTATTCCTTTTGTTCTCACTTTACGTGGTATTGTAAGCGTGTCCTCTGACCGATTTGGCCCATTTCCAATACCAACCTGCGTGCAAGTATTTCCTATGTTTCTGCTAAACTCAAAGTCGATAGCTTCATTTTTGCGGACAGGGGATTGTTTACAGCAGACAGACGGACAGACGGCCCGTAATTTGATGCTGATAACGAATATATACATTACTGTAGGGCCTATGATGCTTCCTTCCGGGTGTTGCAAACGTTTTCACAAACTGAACATACCTCTCAGCTTTCGGTGATGTCTACAAAAATTGCATTCAGCTGTTAGCGAATCTTTTGTACCCGAAAAGAAAGGCCAAAAAAACGAAAAAATACAAGCGCAGTCAAGTCACAGAAATTATTGTCTCGATTACAACTGGAGGATCAAAAGGACAAACTATGACATCAGACCGTAGAAACGAACGGCCTAGCTAGAACTAGAATTAATGATAGGATATTTTTCGTTCATTTAAATGTACTATCATAAGGACCGCGTGGGTCACGTAGACTGAGAAATGAGCCAAGTGAATTATTATAAACATTTTAAGAAGATTTCCATTTAAAACATTTGGATTAAACTGGAATTGGATTAATTCGGAAATAAATGTGTTGATTTGTTTGTCCGGCCCGGATACGTTATAGAGAGAACATTTCGTAACTGCAAGGTCAACGTTAGTCGTGCAAGCGTACTTCATCATCCACCAAGTTTGAAAGGTTTACCCTGTAGATACCCGCTTCTAAGATTGACATTCAGCCCGAAAGTGTGGAGGCAGAACTGGTTATTGAAGATTGAAGATATAAAAAAAAGTCAGATTTTCAAAGCTTTTTATTCCGATCAAAAAAGTGTTACATTACAACAGAATAGTAGAACAGTAACAACATTGTAATCGGTCAAGGCCGATCTTTAGATGCTCTACACAACTTCGCCTAGAACAATTGTTCACTCGTTTTCGTAATAATATACTAAAACACACATCATTTTAATACATAAGCACACTTTTCATGGAAGCCCGCATATTGAACGATGTCCCAAGTGTTCTATATCATGAGCCAAATTTAGAAAACTTAATTTACTTTCCAAAACTTGTATTACTTTCCAGTTTCCTTTATAAAATACTGAATATTAGACTTTCTGCTCATATAAGAGCTTGCTGTCCATGATATGAATCCCTATAAAAAATAGGCCTATCTCATCCAAATTCCGTTTCGTTACTATTTTGACTCAATTGCTAGTATGAACCGATTTTCAGCATAAAAAATTTAAATTCAAATCTTTTTCTGACGGTATTACGATTCATGAGAAATCTTGCATGGAATGGGAGCTAAGAAACGAAATCTGGATCCACTCAAATATTACTATCATGAGCATATTTTCATCATAAAACATTAATATTTAGGCTGATTAGGCTGGCGAATCTGTTAAGGCAATAATTAGCTTGACAAAAAAGCTAATGCCTAAAACGAACCTACACTTCTTCAGTGAAGATGAAGCACTTAGCAGTAATCTAGTTCAATTACGGTGTTTATAAAAATTGAGGCAAATTCCTGAACGCAACAAGTAAAAATTGCTTTTGAATTGAATCAAAAACGTCTATGATTGAACAACGATAGGACGGAGACCAAATGACTGAAACGTATTGAAGTGTAGGTGTTTCCAAAGGGGTATGTAAGAAGTACGCAAAACTACCATAATTAAACACCTTACAGTATAAGCATAAGCAAAAGAAATGTGTCCTTGATTTTATTGTAATTTGCGGAACGCTCCACATATATATATAATCTTCTTCCAATATATGGAGTCATGAGATTCCTCCGATGTGCCGATCTAACCTTGCTAATAGACAGTTTAATGTGCAAATTAAACAGAAACTTGTTATCGAATAGTACCCTAATAACAAGAAAAGTCTCCACATTCTGCAGCCTATGTGACTCGATGAATTATGCCAAAGCCATTTGTTTAAATCCAATGTTAAAAAATTAGTTGAGGACCCGTCTGATTGCAGACCAATCGAATAGGTGCTCATCGCTGAAGGTGGAGATCAATTTAACGTCATCCGTATACATCAAAATGTGCAAAGACACAATTATGGATGGGAGATCGGACCCAAGATGTCCTTACTTTCACTTCCTGCATTTATTTTCTTATTTTGCAAAAATATGAGAAAGCAGTTCAGAGAATAGCGAAAGATGTCGCTTTAAAAAGATCGAGAATGCATTCAAATTTTTATTATCGTACAAATTCCGTAATACAATTATTATTGGATTAGTTTTCATTTGAAATTTTGCAAAATTTTTATTAAATAATAATTAATTTTTAATTAAATAAACTATATAGAAACAAATAAACTATAAAAATAATAGTAACAATTAAATGCTAAATTAGTCAAGTCTTTGGCTCTAGCAAGGCGTGTAAAATTTTATTAAAAACCAAAATCAAAAAAAACAAAAAAAAAAAAAACATGAGGAAATGTTTAAAAAGTATTAGTAAACTAAAAAATATTGTATTTTTAACAATGTATGTGTGGTACATTCTCAAGCTCATAGGTCCATTATCGTAAGAAATGTATAAAATGAAGGCAGAATGAGTTTTCATAATAAGCAGATGGATGGGACGGATCAACTGTATTATAAACATCGTTAAGGGTAATAAACAAAAACAAAAGCTTTAAAAAAAAAATATAATATAAAGCAAAAATGAAAAACCAAACTTTTTTTTTTGATTTGTAAAAGCAAAACACTAACATAATTTAATATACTTCCGAGGAGATGTAATTGCATTTTCTCTTTTCGAAAATGCAGTAGAAATGTAGAAAACGCTGCGGTGGTATTCTATTTACATATTTCTTTCTACTTTTTTCGCTGTTTTTTTTTTTTTTTAAATTTTAAGCATAACAAAATGTTAATTCTTTAATTTTTTGAACATCTCCCCAGACTTGTAACGCTTTAATTTCAGATATATCAATTTCTGTCATATAGGTGGTGATGCGATTGTGACCACCATCATAGATTTTATAGACATCGATAATACCATCTTGGAATGCAAATTCTAATTCAAAAAACGATCCTAAAACGGAATAGTTAATAATTGTGTTAGTATATGTATGCGATGAATGAGAGCCGGTGTTGTTTAACACACCATCGAGTTCATCATATGTTGTCTCTATATGATCGATCCATTCTCCATTCTTTTTAAAATTCTCCACAATAACATTTTCATCCAGTTTCCATTTAAAATGATACGTTATATCTGAAGGATTCTTGCATAACTCGTTTACGAAATTTATCGAAAATCTGTAATAAAAAATATTTTTAATTAAAATTCCTCGAAATTATGATAAATGAAAACATTTAAACGCTGTCAGAAAATTATATAGGACAGTGGGCCCAAACTTTTATACCCATTACCGCTACCCTAAGAAAGACTAAATTTCTATTGATTGATTCCTTCTATTTACACCCTACAACACCTTGTGTTACAGGATATATTAAGGTTAAGCGAACATTTGCGAGACCCAGAAGATCTTAAATTAAGGCCGCTTTTTATCATGCCGAACGGTTCAGGATTATTTTCTGAATCGATCTAAGCTTTTCTACCCATGTATATTGTCTTCAACTTACGCTTCGCAATGCTTGAGATATTTTGGTAAAAATTGATACTGTGGCATGCTTTGGCTGAAGGATAAATACTATTGAATATGGTTCGCGCCAAGCTACTTCCCATATGACGTCCTATTTTGAAAAGTCGTTATATCGAAAACAATTAAAATTTTCAAAACTTCTCGACAAAAAAAAACTGAGTATAAGTATTTCGGCATTTTGCTTTGGTGTGAAAACTTTGACTCGGCTAGGGCAATATTTTGAACACGATCTCATGTAACTGTTCTCGAGTAATCGGAATCTTTATATGATAAGAAGGTTTAATTTTCAATATTATATGGTGAAAATGGTTTCAAAATAAATTGACAAAGAAATTAACCTCACCGAATTTCGACCACATAGATCTATTTGTGGATACCATCACTTATAAACCGCATGTCAACCCTTATATGCCGAAAAGGCCTAATTGCCAATGTTTTATGGCCGGAAAATTTGTTTGTGATAATAATTTGATATAAAAATTAAGTGGACGAAATTTGAAGCAGATGGTTCTATTTTTTGGACCCTAATCCTTACAGGATTTCTTATTAATAGTAAGTTCTTCAGAGAAAAGGTTAATTTTTTATATTTAGGATGAAGCAATTTGGCAAAAAAATTAATGGTAAGGAATTTGGATCTCATAGATGTATTTTTTAGACCCTAATACATATACCATGGAGAGAAAGTTTAATTTCCAATTTTTTATGAAGGAAAATTTTTCGGAAGTAAATTAAGTTTTCTAAATTTGAATCACGCCATGTGACGTTTTGATTACCCCCCAATATTTAGGGATTCCATGAAAAGTATGCCTTTGCATGAATGTAATGCGTAATTTTTGTTGTTTCATTGCTAAAACGACTGAACGCTTGTATTAGGTAAATAGATGTAGGGTGTCTAATAGCCGACCCCGCCTGACTATAATATTTTTATTTGTTTTGTATAATAAAAGTGGAAATTTATATGTCGTTCGTATCGTTAGACATAGTTTGTGAGTAGGGAGCAAAAACAAAGGAACTAAAGGCGTCCTAAACTTTTGTTCTGGTTCTGATTGGTTTGAGTTATTTCTCAAATATTTTCGTAAATTTGTAGGTGAAATGTTCCTTTTGACGATACTCATTTTTACCATGCGCACAGTTGGACAGACGAAGAGACGGACATGTCTAGTTGCTTTCTGAATTTAACACTGGCCAAGAATGTATGATAATATGAAGTGGGTGTGTTCAAATTTTCCACTTTTCTACAGATGGTATCGCCCATCGGAAATATTTGCAAACGTTTGTAGGCTCACCTGCTGTTTGTCTGTTTGTAGATAATGAGGGAAAAACCAATTTGTTTATTCCTTTTGAAAATCGGAGATGGTTTCAGTTTACGTACCTGTAGTACCTGTTCTTCCACAGATTTGACTCGTTTTTAATACAACTCTAGGTATAAGAAGTTCCAATGTTTCTGCCAAATTTGACGTCAACAGCTCCACTATTGCGGTCAAGGGAAAGTTTATAGCAGACATTACACAGATGGATGGACAGACGGACACGGTTAAATGGATACAAAATTTGATGCTGATCAAAATTGGGTCCACTTTATAGCATCTCTGAAACTGGGCTTCTATTTGTTGCAAACGTTTTGACAAATTGAATATATCCCTCATTTATCGTTGATGGGTATAAAACATCAGCAAAAAAATTTCATTATGAGTATAAACATCTAATTTTAAATGAATTGCTGCGATTATTGAAGGACGATATTGTATTATTTTTGAATTTATTATGCTTTAATAACGCATCCCAGAACATCATTTTCTAGAAACTTGTTTATCTTTATATATAATATTTATCTATATATTTATTTATTTTTTTTTTTTCTAAGAATCTATGGTTTATTTTTTCTTAAATTCTGACAATGTTGAGTCAGTCCACCCACAAATCCGAAGAAAATTCAATAAATATCAAATGCAAAATTCTTGAACAAATGTTTGAAAATAATTGATTGGTAAACATTAAGATTATATTCAAGATCTTTAGTCGAAAAATGCCGATCGAAGTAACTGCTACGACAAAGCTTAAGTTGGTAAAGAAATTCAAGTAATTTTCACAAGTAAAATATCGAGCGATAAGATGTTGGTCAATAGAGCAATAAGTGGTGATCAGTGCCTTGGGTTAAACGTCAGTCTAAATTGGTTCCCCAATCACTAAGATTCACTTCATTCATATGTCCGAACTCTTTGGCCGATCAATGCCTAAGTTGTTAGAGAAATGCATATAATTTTCAAAAGTAATATACCGCAAGAAAGGATGTCGATCAATGGAGAGAGAAGCGTTGATCAGTGCCATGGATTAAACGTCAATTAAAAGAGACACTCTCGTCAATCAGTGCCGCTGGTTAAATGTCAGCCTAAACAGATCGAAAGCTTGTTAACGTTAGCGTTGTATTTGGAATTTGCAGCCGGCAACAGTCGACCGGAATAGCTGTTACGACGAAGAGTAAGTCGGCCAGCCAAGATCATGCAATTTTTAAAAGTAGAATGTTGTGAGGAGCGAGATTTCCGTTGATAAATCGATTAAAACCTTCACCCATCAATCTTTATATCCGAAATTTTTAGACGACGCTCGAATTAGCTCTTACGACAAAACCTAGGTTAGTGGAAAATATCAAATAATTTTCAAATGTACAAGATTTGTCAATACTATTGGTTAAAGGCCATCGCTGACTAAAACTTCAATCGTTACCATTTCAGTTATATGTGAAATCTTTAACCAAGAGTTGACGATCGGAATGGTTTTTATCATAGCGAGTAAGTTGGTAGAGAAAGTCAGGTAATAAAGTAAAAGGTCAGATGGAAGTAAAATATCGCGAAAAAAAATGCAAAGATTATCGTCAATCAATGCCATCGGTTATATATCGGGCTAAATCGATTAATTTAATTATTAGCATTGAAGTTATATTCGATATATATAGTCGGCAAATGTAGAAATAGCTGTTAATAGCTGTTGCAGCCAAGCTTAAAACCTTTAAACATTAACCTTCAAGTTATATCCCTAATCTTATCTAACAGATAAATCTAACGAAACAGATGTGGCAGAACACACAATGGTGAAATCGTCTTCCGCTTTTGGAAGAAAAATTTTGATGTGATGCGAACTGTCTGCTGAGACAGTGTTTAGTTTAAAAACTTGGAAAATTTTGCTTAAGTTAAGTCAAATTGATTATTGGTGTCTGTTTTTAATCGAAAAGCTGTCTTAACCGGAATGAAAATACGATCTTATCCGATATCATCCATAGTAAGTTGACTTTTCTGATCCCATCCCCTGTACAATTACTCAAGGGCCTTTATAAGCCTTTGTGTATTGTGTGTATTTTTACTTGTTACCTAAATTTTTATACTTTTTTTTTTTTTTCGTTTTTTTTTTTTATTTTTTTATTATTATTATTTTATTGATGTTTACGTAACCTCGAACCCATTACAATAGATTGGAATGTTTACCATAGGTGCAATAACACAAAATGTTTCTAAGCAAATCTAGAGAAAAGAAAACGGAAGTCAAAGAAAAAAACAAAACTAGGTAGGCAGGCTAGTAGGAAAGGAAATAAAACACAACACATTCACTAAATAACTAAATAATCTTTTTATTAGCCGCGAAGGTTAAAAGCTTACGTTTTCTAGGTGGGATAAGAACATGTAAACTATTGTACTAACTCAGGCAGCGAAAAGTAAGTTCTTATAACTCTTATCTGAAAGGATTTGGCGAAAAACCACGTAACTCAGGAGATCAACTAATGGTTCTAGCGAACTGTCTTATTAAAAGAAAAAAGATTTAAGAAGCTTCTTCAGTCTCTGCCGTAGAATCATGTTATAAAGCTTAAACAGAAGTCTAGCTTTAATAAAAGCAACAAAGGAACTACCTAGAAAAGACAGAAGGTAATCTGAGGCATATTGACACTACCTCCAAGAAGAATGTAAGTTTACATTACGTCGAAGCATAGACTTCTAAGCCATATAGTGTAAGTCGCATAATTAGAACCTGCATCACATTCAAGAAATGGAACTTTGTAAGTAAGAAATTGATCCGAGAGCATAGAAGCAGAAGTTCTCCTCGATATTCACCTCCAGGAATTTGAACTTATTTACAACTGGAAAACTAGCGCCACCTGCCGTTAGAGCAAGGCTTAGTTCACGAACCGATAAAATAGAGCAAATGTTTTAGCTCAGTTCACATCAAAAATCATTCACACCCATCTAACAAGAGATACAGTTGAAATGGTAATCAATGTTGACTTGATAACTGTCTAAACTATCCACACTACCCGCAAATATAACCTGTCAATCATTGGCAAAGGCTTCCTCCCACGAAGCTAAATTAAATATATTTAAGAAATCAAAATACAGGGCCAATGGCCGACACTTGGGGCACACCTTTGCATAGCTTTTAATAGCTTAGAGTTAATAGCACCCACAGCTACAAATTCCGAACGGTTCGAGCGTTAGGATTGTCAGTGAAAGAACTCAGTCAGCTGAGTTCGAAAACTCAAAGTCCCATACGAGCCTATATGAAATAGAAGAACATGCAGCACTTTATCAAAGGTCTTAGTTAGATCCAGCGACAATGACCCTGATATATGCTTATCACTTACCGCCCGTCAGTAATAGTCAGTAACAAAGAAGTAGTGTTACAACCATTTTTAAAACCATATTGAAGACCGACTTGGTCCCTTATGATATGTTCGAAGGCCTTCGAGAGAAGAAGCAATAAATTGCAGCACATTATGTTAGTCTAAGCCTTTCGACAGCAAGGTTTGTTTGGCCACATTGTCTATCCTAAAGATTACCTTTTCGGGGCCCGCTGGCTTATAAGGCTTCTCATTAAAAATATGCTTTCGTATGGAGACAATTTATAATAGTTGGTATTTTAATGAATAATGTAGGGTATTTAAAAGTTGACCTTGTCCGACAATAACGTTCTTACATTTAAATAACAAAGTCATTTGCAATAAAATGTTAAATACTTTTCACTGCTTATTATATTAAACGATCTCATAAAATTGATTGCTTAGGTGTTTCTACAGCGGTGAACATACGTCAGAGGTAAATATTAGCCATATTTCAACAAAAATGCTATTAGAAAAGAGACGGATAACAACATTTCCATTGTATTATCATCATCATATATATATATATATAGATATATATATATATATATATATATATAGGTGATAAAAATAAGAAATGATAAGAATTATTTTAAGTGAAATAATTTTTATAAATACAAACACCTAGGAATGATAATCACGCACACATTTAAAACCGAGAACAAAGATTATATATATAGAGTACGTATACACTTAAGATTCACAGTAGCTTTACTTGGCCGTCTGGCCGTCCTTTGCTATAATTCTTAATCGAAAAAGCAATATTACATTCATATATTTAGGCTAATAGCGCGGTATAATTCGCCGGCAATAGCTAGAAACAAGTGAAAACAATATAGTCGAGCAAGCCCGACTATTAGAGATCCTACACCATTTCACTTAATACAGCCATTCAATCATTTTCGTGACAACATTTTAAAACTCATTTTTATGTGAAGCCATAGTTCTCGTGAACGCCGTTCTATTGGAGGCCGCTGAAAACGTCAACTAATGCAAACAACACAATTTACTTGTCAAAGTTTTCAATTACTTCCACTTGATTCGCTCATAAAAAACCACAAGTTAGACGCCTTAGAAGTCTTTGGTTTTCATGAGAGCCCCTGTATATGATTTGGTTTAAACAAAAGATCTATTTGATCCAAACTTTTTATCAAATGACTCTTACGACAGTAAACATTTTTACTCTATCAACTCTTATTTTTCTTTAAAATGCCGATAAGAAGTGGGATCCAGAAAATAGACTTGTCTGGTACAGATTTGATAAAGTGCAGTTTACGCTTGCGAACCAAATTTTATTATAAAATACCAAAAATTAGATATAACGGTTTACTTTTCATTAAGCCCTTTGTATGACATGGTATCCAGAAAATAGATCTACATTGTCCAAATTGGGTAAGATTACTGTTTATATCAAATTATTATTGTGCACGAATTTTCATTTAGAAGCATGAAATATTCGACCTTTTTACCATACAAAGATTTAGTTGCTGTATGGCGCGGGGGGTTAAAAAAATTTTTCACACCAATTTAGAAAGCTATTTCTCGGCGATTTGTGGTACGAAATTATGAAAATTAGACTTTTCAAAATAAACCGTTATATGTGGAATCTGGACCATTTTCTATAGCGTTCGTCCTTGGGTTAGCTTTATCAAAATATCTTAACACTTGCGACCTCTACGTTGAAGAGAAGAATACACGAACAAATATTAGATAGGCAGACGGATAGATAGACAAGCTTATGTTCTCCATATATAAAACTCTTATAATACAGGATATGAGAATCATTTTCCGAATTGATCGTTATAACGAAAGATGGGTATATCTCAAATTTTTCCGTGTGGTATTTACATCTCTACAAACTTGATATATCCTGTACAAGTGGTGATGTAGAGTATAAAAATATACTTCTTGCGTTTAGTTGCAATCTTTAGAAAATATCGCTCGGGAATTTAAGTAAACATTTATATAATTTGATTAACATTTTGCGAAGAAATTGTTTTGATTAAAATGATCTGAATTTTTTGGCATAAAAGACAAATTTGCTTGAAAATGATGACAAGTTGGCGTTTAACAACGTAACCTTAACAAAAGAGATTGAATATAGAGTCAACATGAGTCAACTAAGTATTTAGAGTTATTTACAAAAGATTTCGCAGGTAAGAATCACGGCAAGACCGATTACTAGACACGCAACACCACTTTGCTTAATTATAATAATAGACCAAAAATTATACACGAAAGCCCTCTTATTCGGGCATGCTTAAACGTCAACGTGGTCTAAATTTACCAAACTTAATTTACTTGTCGAAGACTTTAGCATTTTCCAGTTGCTTCCGTCATAACAAACACAAACCACAGATTAGTCATTGTTGCCATAGAAGGATTTGCTATCAGGAGAGTCCCTGTGTATGCTGGAGTTTAAAAATTAGTTCGATATGATTCAAATCCATTGTGGTTAATTTACTGAGGGCAAATTTTCATTAGTAACAAATATAAAAATTGGTCATTTTTGGTTTATAAAGGCCCTATATGGGTTGGTAGTCAAAAAACAGACTTATGTTATCCAAATCCGGTAATCTTCATTTTTATGCTAAATTTCCATATTAATATAAAAGAATTTTCATCAAGAAGTATCAATAATTAGGTCTTTTTTACAATATAACGATTAAGGTTTCACAGGAGCGGTTATATGACAAGGGATTCAAAAATTTATTAAATCCGATCCAAAATTTTCATATCGATTTAGAAGACCGAAACCCTATTACTAAGCGATTTTTATCGGGGAATTTGAAATAGTTTGCTATTTTTTCATATAAGGTATTATGAGGAGCGACCGAAAAAGTCGTCAGATCCGAACCACTTTTCGTAGCTTTCGTCCTTGGGCCAAAACTCGTCATTATACCGGCGATCAGTAGGTTCGACACAAAACTACATAGACAGACTTTAGACGGGCTGACGGAAAGAAAGACAAGTTCAGATGGATCCAAAATGATAATCATAATAAAAGGTGGATCTATCTCAAGTCATTCTGTTATAGTGTTACAGTCGTCTGCGCAAACTTAATATGGCGGCGTAGGGTACAAGAAAAAAAATATCTCACGTAATATATTACGTATTTACAAACTGGACGTATAAGCCAAACTTCTCGTTGGCTTAGTCTATTAAATCTGACTATCCAAGAAATTCAAACAATTTTGTCTTTGATTTTACGAAAAAAAAAGAAAAACCCTAAACAAATGACATTTAATTGAGGAAAATTCTTTTTGAATTATACATAGAAAGGTGATGTCATGTACGCTGCAAGGATTCGCAGAACATTAAAGAAAACGCATATAATGAAACCTATTGCTTTATAGGCTAAAAGAGAAAAAAAAAATCAATAAAAAAAAATGTTTTTTTTTTATTCTTTTTCGTAAAATCAAACACAAAATTGCATTAATTAAAGGTTTGCCGGTATGAGTTGAGACATTTTTATATGGGTTAAGCAATTAAATATATTGCAATTGAAACTAGTTGACAAGTCACTATAAATACTCTTATTGTTGATGCATCAAGACAATAGAGCATATACTTACTCGTAAGCATCATGCAAAACGATTCCTTTTATTTTAATTTTATCTCCGGCTTTTAAAATATTCGGCGCTATCGTTGCTGTGTATTTGATGATAGGTGGCATAATCGTTTTTTTTTTTTTGTTTTTTTTTTTCAATAAAAATTTCTTGAAAATTTTCCCAAATTAAACACAAATCTGATGTACTGAATATAACTTTAAATATTCGCGTTAAAAATAGGAAGCAATATTTTCACTTGCATGAATTGCTCTCATGCACGTTAACTGTATATATATATAATAATCTATAAATTAGAAGGTAGGTAGAAGAAGCTTTCATTCATAAGTGTTCTTTTTTTAAATAATTTTGTGCCGTTTATGGTGGTTTTTGTTTGGGTTTCTTCGCCTATATATCGAAACGTTGCCAAGTGCAGTTGACGGTTGTTGTTGATGTTGCGTTAAGAGAATATTTTTGAGAAAGTTTTGAAACAAAAACGAAATATATATATACCGTCGATAATGATTGCTTCTTTAAATGCTAACTAATACTGATGTTGGAAAATCTTTTCAAAAATATTTCTTTCATAAACATTTCGAAATTTATCTAAAATTATAAAAATTCCAAAAAAAAAAAACATTTAAAATAATTAAACCATTAACTTGTATAAACAAATTTGTAAAACAATCGAGAGGTACGAACAAAAAAAAAAAGCCCACAACAACCTAACGCGAGCAATATTTACCGAAGACTGAAATGAGATTTAGAAAAAGCCTCGGTACCCTTTACAATTACGTTTCTCTTCAATATTCTTTCTCTTTCTTTCTTTCCTTTAATGATTAAGAGAATCATTTAACTTTATCTCACCTTTTATTGTTTTTTGCGCTTGTTTTTAGATCTTTTGATAAGACTACTTAAATCAAGTAGTTCCGTAAATTTTTCTTGTTGTTTCATTTTTTGTTTTTTTTTTTTTTTTGGGAAATTTTATGGCATGCAAAATCCGGATTATATATGTAGATGTACAAATAGATCTCTATTTGATTAGATTTATTAAAAATGCATTTGCAAAACATGTAAGAACATTGTAGTCGGGCAAGGACGAACATTCAATACCCGACAATACATTGCCTAGCACAATTTTTATTTTTATTATAGAGCATAAAAATTATACCTATCTATGGGCCAAAACTCTTTATATAGTACAAGCTTAATTTGATTGTCGAGCATGTTGTTATTTTGAGAGGTTTTGTTAAGGGATAAAAAAAGCAACAATGTCTGTGAAAACCTTACATAGGGCAAGATCCAAAAATAGTCGTAGATGATCCAAATTTTGTGGAGTGCATTTTTATACGAAATCAGTATTATGGGCTAATTTTCATCGCCACTTATTAAAACTTGAAAACTTTTCTGCTCTACGAAGGATGAATTTTTGTAAAAATCCATGTTAGGTTAGAATCAAGAATATAGGTCGAAATAGTCCAAATTTGCTGCACTTAATTTTTTTATGTTAAATCACTATTACGATATAAATTTCGTCATGAAGCATTGAAAATTATACCTTCTTGTCGTATGAACTTCGGTTTCAGTCTATATGATAATGGGTTCAAAAATAGCCAAGACGGTGAAACTTTCAACATTTCTTTCCATGTAACGACTTTTTAGAATACGGCATTATATGGTGAGTGGACGAAAAATTGGACCGATCCAAAACAATTCCAACAGTGTTTGTCTTTAGGTGAAATCACGATCATGCAGCAAATTTCATCAAAATATCTAAAATTTTGCGATCTATAAATACATGCACTAACGACAGACGGTCTGACGGACGCAACGTTTCATCGTCATCATTTTCAAAATTGATCAAATTATTTCCTGAATCGATGGTAAAAGATGAGCCTACCCTTACGTGTTACGTACGTCTTCACAAGCTTAATATACCTTGTACCACAAGTGATGTAGGGTATAAAAATGTAGGTCTGATCAGCGACATAATTAGGCGTTGCGAAAAAACGGATCATTGAATCCCTTAACCTTAATTTCCATAAATGTTAAAAGGAACTTTTAACAGGGACAGATTTTAATATGAAAACCAAAATGTCAATTAAAAGAACGATAAAAGTCGAAGATAGTTGGAGAGCTGCACCCTATCAAACTCTTAACTATCAATAACATATCGTGACGGCAATGGGGAGTAACTGCGGCAAGATTAACCCTCGTTCCGTTAGTAATATATCAATCGTTGCAAGCATTTTACACACAATGTCAAAGAAAAATATTAGTAAGATTGGTTAAAATAGATCTTCAGGTACTACAAAGTACGCGATATATTTATATCCAGACTATACATAAGTATATAAGCATATGCATGCCACTTAAGATGTTTTGAGGAAGTTTCATACACCGCCATGTTTTATGCCAAGGGCGAGCACTATTGAAAATGGTTTAAATCGGACAACTTTTCCGATTACTTCCAATAAAATACCTTGTTTTGATAAATCGTGATTTTACTAAGCGTAGGACGACATAGCGCATCTGATGGTGGGCTGTGTCCCTCTATAGTGTTTTCACTTGTTTTCACATAAAATATTACAATGCGGACTAATGTTTCACTTATTAAACAAGTCAAGATTTAATTTTCAAATTTTTACCGATATATCAGTTTTCATCTGATAAGTTTGCGATGTTGTTATTACGGCAAGGTATTCTAATATAAAGCAAACCAAAAAGTTGATTGTGCCAACTGATAACTGTAAACACCATTTTACAAGGACTTCTAACAGTTTCGTATTATAAGGTCGACTGATAGTAAAAATCGAACATTTTTAAGAAAGGTTTCTATCTTTATCTAAAATATGTCAAGGCGCAGTTGCACGAAAAGTTTTCAAAAATGTTGGATCTGTTAGCTAAACATGAAAATATATAATGAGAAAAACATAATTCAGATCATATTCTGAATCGATTGATATAATAAAATTTGAGCCTTTATCCAGTCGTTCACGGCATTGGATACATGGTAGTCAACCCACAGTGACCACCAATAGGAGTGATACCAAACAACAAAGATCATTACCGACAACGATCTGGAACTCAAGTATAGCTAGGTTGCGCAGTCAACGAGAGCAGAAATCACACAAATTTCGAAATAATACCGGCCAATATGCTAGTGAGGAATTTAAATTTTTTGTTGTAGCGCTTCCTTTATTGCTGTCGTTGTAGCTTTGTCATTGTAGTAGCTTTGTCGTCGTAGTATCTTTGTCCTCGTTGTCCTCGTTGTTATTGTTGCCCTCGTTGTTGTGTGCCTTGTCCTTGTTGTCGTCTTCGTCGTTGTTGCAGCATTTACGTAGTTGTTGTTGCAATTTCGTAGCATTTTCGTTGCTGTGGTCGTTGTAGTTTTGTCGTTGTTGTAGCATTTTCATTGTCTTCGTTTTTGTAGCTTTGTCATTGTTGCCCTCGTTGTTGCTAAGCTGTAGATAATAACATAAGAGAGTAATCAGTTGGGAAGTTTTCCGCAGGTTACTAATAAGGTTTTCGTGTTCCTAGGAAAGATACTATGTTATTTTTACAGACAAATACAAAAAGGCCATAGACGTCCTCTCAAGGCAATCATGTCTCGGTATAGAGAAGAAGATTGGCAAAACGACTTATTCGAAAAAGATTTAAATCACTGTGAACCTCGCAAGTAGGCTAGGTGAAGCGATTACAAGCTTTAGTTTATGTAAATCGTACAAAGCGGGTAATGCTACCTAGCAATAAAAATAAAAATTCAATTCTTGCCATCTCACCGTTTTACAACGCTTACACGGCAATTACGCTTGTATCACAATCTTTCATTCAATACTTCATTGCAACGCTTGCAGACATTTCATATGGTGGTATAGATTTTTACCTATTAAACGTATTTTTTTAAGGAAAAATAAGTAAAAACACCATAGCGGACCGCGGATCGCCATTAAATATCCCGCATCTTGCTGCATTTCTTCATATAGCAACCTCACGAAATAAGATATTATACGAGTATTGGTCAAAAAAGCGGTACGACCCAAAAACATTTTCAATAGCGTTCGACTAGGAGTCAAAACATATCAGTGTGCCAAATTTCATCAAAATATGTGTAAAGTTGATATCTGTAGGTTGAACACAAGATAATACACAGACAGAGAAGCCTAGATCGATTGAGAAAGTGATTCTGAATCGATCGATATTATAAGAGGTGAGTCTATCTCAAGTCATTCTGTGTATTGTATACATAAGCATAAACCCTTGTGGTACAAGTGGTGCACCGTACAAAAATTCGGTTCTTATTTACCATAAAGCACCAGCTTTCTATTAAAACGTGCTGTTAGTATTTTACTGATTAATTGAGGATTGAGGCAAAAAATTAACTAAAACTTGTCGTAAGTTAGTACTTACTCTCTTGCTCTTGCTGACGTCCCTATTATCCGTACAAAATTTCCAGCTATTTTCTTTAACATGTTTGAGGGCTGAGTAGACAAAGGGCCTCGTCTAGCAACTCAATGATCGTGGGCTCAAATCTCAAGTGCGATAGAGTTTTCAATAAGGCCGGCAATTTTCGATGCTAGTGCTTTAAGACTTTAGTCTTAGAATTTATTTTTCTGCCTGAATAATAATAATAATAACAAATAAGAACCTAATTATAGTAGATGTTGAATCCTTACATAGAGCAGGACACAAAAATAGGCGTAGATGATGCAAATTTTGTAGAGCTCATTTTTGTATGAAATTACGATAATATTATGGGCCAATTTTCAACATCACGTATTAAAACTTGGACTTTTCTGCTCTACAAATTATCAACTTTTGTGAAAATTCTTATTAGGATAGAATTTAAAATATAGGCTGGGATGGTCCAAATTTACTACAGTTAATTTTTCATCTTAAATTACTATCATGATATAATTTTAAATTATATCAGTTTCATCATGAAGCATTAAAAATTGTACTTTTTCGGTATAAGCTTCAGTTTTCGTTATATGAGAGGAAGCTCAAAAATTTCCACAGCCGGTCCAAACTTTTCATACCAATTTAGAATGCCGAAATGCTGCTACTTAACAATTTTTGCAATTTTTACAATTTTTTCTATATAACGACTTTTCAGAATACGGCGTTATATGGGAAGTTGTCGAAAAAGTCGACCGATTCGAACCATTTTCAATAACGCTCGTCCTTAGGGCAAAGTAGGCCTATATACCAAATTTCATCAAAATATCTCAAAAATTGTGACCTGTAACTTCCCCACGAATTTACATGAACAGACATCAGACGGACAGACAGGCTTAGATCAAGTCAAATTACGATTCTGAATCGATCGGTATAATAAGAGATAGACATATTATGAGGCCTTCTGTATGTTACACATGTCTGCGCTAATTTAATATACTCTGTACCAGAAGTGATGTAGAGTTTAAAAAACCAGTCCACTCATAAACTTACTAAAAATCCCTTACAAACATTACGAGATTATCCCTTTAAATGTATTATTTAAACTAGGGGTAATCCTACTCTACAAATGTGCTTTAAATATTTTCTATCCGGCAACTCTGCAGATATCCCGGCATATAAAAAAGTGTCTTGGAAAAGATAGAAATTGCTGTAAAATATTTTTGGAATTCACTAGAAAATTATAAAGTATTTACTAACAAAAAGCTACGCAAGTGTTCATTATACAAATAAACAAAACTACAAAAGTGAGTTAACTTTTCATTTAACTCTATCGTCATATAGTGGGGCGGATATTTATGTCTTTGTAATAATTCCTAACTTTAAACTATCTTAACATTTTAAATAATTTATATTTTTCATATCGTTTAATAGAGAAAGGGAGGAAGAGAGAGATTATGATGGAAACACAAATTTTGTATATTTCTTTGGCGGTATTCTTGGCCATATTCACTCCTACCTCGCTGGCCCTTAAAGAAGAAGATTGCGAAGGTACGTACATTTTAAATTCTTTACACGTATGTTGCTTTAATTTTCAGTATTCCGTATCATATTTTTTATTTTGTAGTTTGCATTAAGACTGTCAGGCGTTTTGCTGAAACATTAACTGATGAATTGAAAAAGGATCACAAGTTAATTGAAGCCGAATTTAAAAAATTCTGCAAAGAACAAAAAAATAAAGAGCAGAGATTTGTAAGTGTGCTTGTGTGAGTGTATGAAAAGTATGACGTGGTAAATTAACATACGTTGTTATTTATTCAGTGTTTCTATTTGGGCGGCTTAGAAGATTCGGCTACGGGTATTTTGAATGAATTGAGTAGACCTTTAAGTTGGTCGATGCCGGCCGATAAAGTTTGTGAAAAATTGAAAAAGAAAGATGCTCAGATATGTAGTTTACGCTATGGTAAGTATTAAAGATATAAATTAAAATAAAAAAATTTTCGTTTACAATTCTTTTGAACCACTGCCGAGAAATCTTTTGAGAAGGATGAAATGTGCTTGATAGATATCAATATAAAATATAGAAGAAAAGGATACGTGTTTGCTTATGTATTTATATCTATGGAAACCAAACTTCCTAGTTCATGACTTACAGCAAGAGTGGACAACTTGTTTCGTCGCTGTGCCAATTTTAATTTTCATGTCACCGCGAGGACCAACATTATTGAAAATGCGGAATTTCGCATCAATTACCCTTCTTTTTAAATCGATCATTTTATCGTCTAATAAACGAAAAAAAAACCACCACTTTTGATAACTGCGCAGCTGAGCCAGTAGTGAAGTCAGATACTGAATCCATTTGTAACTCTGCTATTTTCGAGGAAATTGAATTATTTGTATTATTTAAATGAAGCGGGTCGGCTGTTGCCCATCCCTGGTGCAAAGTACGCTTTTACGAGTCTTACAATGGTCGTGTGACTCTTCTTTAATACTGCGCCTGTTTTTTGCGAATCCACTTTGGAAATTCGGCAAATCCAAAGACAAAAGCTAGCTAACAGCATTACAAACTTGTGCAAAATGTGAAAATGATGACTAAGCAGAAAGACATTTAAAATTGTTTGCCGGCCTCGCTTTCGTTTTTGGTAAAAAGATTGTGTAATAACACATATAACAAGAGAAATACAAGACTCATATACGATCTTTTCTACTTAACTTTAGCTTATGTCAAAAAAGGAGGTTTTCGATAATTTAGATAATTATAATAATGCACCTATGAATACATATGTATATGCACGCTTTTGTAATGGGAAAAATAACTGAATGGCATTGATATAGGATACGATATACAAAATATATAGGACACTGAGAATGTAGTTCGATGAAAAAAATAAAAAGACTAGTCCCTCAGAGGAGTCAATCGTTTAAATTTTTTGAAAAAATTATTTTTTTTTACCTTAACTATATACACCGTAATGCGTCCATCCATCCTTGCCAGGTTTCCTCACATATTTATATATATATATATATGTATTTGTATATATTTGTATGTATATTTTAGCAAGATATTTTATTACAACCTAAGGCGACGAGTATATGAGTATAGCGCAAAATAGATCGACACAGTTACACTAATTAACACGTGGACGCTATAGCGTTCATTTTCGTTTTACACTACAATATCCAAAGCCCAAATTCTAGAAATCCTAAATGATAGAGAGTAAGCAAATCAAAAACATCAACCATAACGTTAAATGGTCCATTTTGAGGGAGTCAACTTGCCGTGTCGTGAAGTTTGATTAATCAAATGAAGCCATGCCATGAAGGATGCTAAGTCCATTAATTAATGCAATTGCGCCAAAAAAATGGGCATAATCTACCAAAAATCATGATATTGTGAGTTTTTACTATAAAGGAATTTGACTGCATATAGCAAAAGTCGCTCGCCTAAAATATCGTATCTGCCCCGTTGTTACCAGCAGACATTATTCCTACCAATTAATACAGTTTCCAATAGATAAAGCATTACTTGTTGAAACAATGCTTCCAAAATACTGATCCCTTTAGGGATAGTCTTAGAAAAAGACGACATTTTTCAAGAAGGAAGTCGACTAAAGCCTGAAAGAATGGGAAAGGTCATAGTTTACGATGGATAATACTTTGAACTAAGTACGTTGTATCATTTTCTCTAAACGAAGGTTGAAAGTTATAAAAAAAAAACACTCAAAACTTATTTATACACTATACTCTGGAAAGAATTTTTTTTAATATTCTAAGACATCTGTTTATTTACATATATATACCTTTTTATTTTCAGAAAAGCAAATCGATGTAAATTCTGTGGACCTTAAAAAGTTAAAAGTTCGTGATTTAAAGAAAATCCTTAACGATTGGGATGAGAATTGTGAGGGTTGTATTGAAAAAACGGACTTCATCAAAAGAATAGAGGAATTGAAACCTAAATATGTTCACAGCGAATTATAAGTTGACTTGCAAGGGGAACACATTTCTAAAGACTAATCTCTATTTGCGTTGCACATTATGTGTAAAACTATAGTTTTTTTTTTTTTTTTCTTTTAACACACACAGTAAAAATATGTACCACCAGGAAAAACAATTTTCGATGTTTGATAAAACAGTTTTCGTTTTTTTTTTTTTTTGTTAACACAAAAAGTTTATTTAATTCACAAAAAAAAAAACAAAATATGTCTAATATTTTCTTACTAATAAAAAAAAGAAGGAAAAAGACAATTGTGTACGTATATTAAAACTGTTACTTATTAAACTAACATTGATTTGCAAATTAAATTCAATTAGATTTTTTTAGTTAGAAGAAATATCTCTGTGCAATTAACTTAAAATTATTTTCATTAAAAAAAAAAAGATTTTAATAAATTATTTCTATAAAAATTACGTCACTTGTTTTGTTCTTATTCGGTTTAGCGTCTATACGGCTGCTAGTTGTAACGTCCGCTTTCATTTTCCTGAATTCACTGTAGACCACACACCAGCAATAGGTTAAAGTCGCCGAAATTTAAACAAAAAAAAAAAAAAAAATTACAGATCGCATTTAGGGTAAAGAATGATACTTGTAGATACATAATTTCCAAATTCTACGATTCTTTCTGTCCATAAAGTAATCCCTAAAAGTCGAATGATGGTATTGTCTTGACCTAAAAAAAGCTGTTACCTTATTATCAAGAATTGCTTGAATATTAAATTGCGGAAGATGAAATTATATATATATATATATTTTTTTTTTAAATATTTTCTTTTTTAAATATCTTCATTTTTTTTAGTTTTTCGAAATTTTAGATTTAAGAATGATAAGAAAACGAAAAAAGAAATTTGTATTCCAGTCCAAAGCCATCATTCCAGCATGTCGATATATACTTGGTTTGATCAAAAACAAACGAGGATTTTGGCGGGATCCCACTGTTGTCCTCCTTCCTTTTCCTGTGTATTTCCCATTAAAGTTACAAAAAATATAAATACACAAATTCTCTTTTTTTTATATCCATTTTATTTAAATTAATTTCTTGCTAAGTTCACTTAACCTAACATTTAGCTTAGCGTTAAAAATTCACTTTCAAATAATTGCTTACTTTCAGCAATACTTAATTTGAGGAGAATTTTCGTTATTCTTTCGGCAACAAGTTTCTTACTCTTCTTCGTTCGCTTGGCTTGCACAGCTTATAATATTTATTATTACTATTATAAATTTCGCCAACTACTAAGTAAAGTCTAGGACTAAAAGCCTTAAAGGCACTAACATCTAAGGCTTTCGGCTCTATTTTTAATACCACACTTGAGATTTGAACCCACGAACATTGAAGTTGCTAGTCGAGACTCTTGCCTACTCGGCCGCTCATGCTGATATGTAATAATAATAAATAACTTTCGGCGTACCAACTAATTATAGATATGTCGCCCTCATATATATTGTTAAATCGATATGATAAAAAATGATTTTATTGCAATTGAAAGTTCAGCTGTATCAGCAGCAATAACTAAAAGAGTCCAAATTCATT